TTTAATCTTTCAGATAGTATGGCGATAGTTTCTATAATTCTGATGTCAAAAAAAAAATAACAACCGAGTAAGTATATATTTAGTTTTTGAAAAGAAAAATTCAATCATTCATATAGGTATAACTGACGATCATCCCATTAAACACTATCTTCCACGACCTTCATTGACAAATACAGATGATATATTTATTAAAGCAATAAGAAAGGATGAAGTCTTTGGAAACATCCCTAGAATACAAATTTGTTATCTACTATTAGGTAATATAGTATTCTTTATTTTATTTTTAATGTTTAGTTCAACAATGACTTTTTTTTTATTTCATTAGACAAAGTCAAACCAATTGAGTTAAATGAAGAAGCTAGTGTTGACACACAAATTGTATTAACTACTCGTCTTGCTCACTTTGAAGGTTTCAATAACGAGGTGATTTATTGGTTTTGTGCTCAAACTGGATCTGATAGATCAATAAGTTTTTTTTTAACGGCTACTCGTTCTTTACTTGAATGTTATACCGCTGTATTATCTAATAGAGAACATCTGTCATCACCACTTTGCCTTATTATATCACTTACATACCAACATGTTTTACAAACAGAAGATGAAGCAAGAAAAATCACATATCGAACTGCTGTGGTACTATGTAAGTTACTTCATAAACGTACAGCGAGAATATGTATTCTCGTAAAATGTCTGAGTGATTATTATTTGCACCTACATCGCATTGCTACTGATGATCATGATATGTTTACTGTATCGGATCGTCTTCAAGACATGATAGGAAAAGTTCGAGTAAAATCATAATTCAGTGAATTGTATTCAAAGTTTTACAGGATTCCTTATTTCAGTTTCACTAAAAACAAGTCAAATTTCTCGTTATAGATGAAACTAACCGGTATGTAAAAACGACACCGATGGTGTTGAACCTAATTTTGATTACGGTTTTTTTGTTTTCCTAAAGAATATTAGATACAGAATTGGAACTTGATATACGAAAATTAGCAAGTCTTGGTTTATCATTACAAGAAGAACGTGTTCCATGGATATTTTTCGCAACATTTTCTAACCAATTACAACAATTAGCAAAATATGTCCTTCGTGAAGATTATATTTTTTTCCTATGAGAGTGCAAATGTCGATGTAGCACATACAATAGAAGAAGTACCACTTACAAGGAAACAAGATCTGAACGTTGCTTGATTTTGTTGAAACATATCGATCAACTGATTCTATAGGTGCATTACTTTTACAAAAAAGTTTCATGAGTATAACATTTCATGAAAATCAAACACACTAACAACGAAAGAAAACTGTAGAACAATTTGCAAATGGTCTTATTGATTTTGTTGTTCAGTATGATTTACCGGATACAAGTGATTTTTATATTCATCGTATTGGTCGAACAAGTATAATGAGTTATAAGAAAAACAAGAAAAAGGCGAAATAGTTTTGAAAATTCCTTTTTTTTGCATGGGTCATACTGGTTAATTGGAGAAATCCATATGATTTTTTTGATTCCGATCGATAGTCTGACAGAAAAATTGCTCTTAAACTTACACTAAAATCATGCCAAGTATATTTTGTTCTCTAAATTGAACATGAATTTTCAATTGATTTCTTTCAATAGGATGGCCAAGCAACATCAGAATTTCTTAAAAAATATGGTGATGTGGGTTGTATTGGATTTTATCATGATGACCATAGGTCGACGAATAGTAATGTAATCCTGTTAGTGTGGGTGTGGGATAAGACATACACCTACCGTCTGTTGAGTAATTAAACTAAGAAGTATTTTTAATAGATTTTAGATCGACATTGTTGCTGAAAATTTTGAGCGCGAGGAAAGATTTCTAACGATCTTGTGTCATATTCAATATGTTCTTCATATTTAGCCAATAGACATTAAAGCAAGACTAAAATTTTGGATATATAGGTAGATTTTATATCCTCTTTTATATCATATTATCGAAAAGATGTAAAGCAAAATTTTTCAGAGGAAATGATTTCTCAATCGAGTAATAGATTGTCTCTTAAAATAACTTTGAGAAATTTATGAAATTCTATTGAGCCATCCACAATAATCCATCGTTACCGTTCTTCATTAAAAGTATAACTCATAAACATAGTTATTGCTTTTTTTGTCTTTACTATCCAGAGGAGTAGTCCTTTGTGGTTGTTGCTTAACATTTGCTTCAATAACAACTTAGAAAAAAATTCTTTTGTTTGTTTTTAAAATGTGATTATTGTGCTTCAAATAAAACGATTCAGAATGGAGACAAGAGAGAAGAAAAATAAATTTGCACTTGTACATGAGAGTCACAACATAAAAACATATGTATAAATTACCGGCTAGAAATAAGAATATTTAGAGAAAATAATTGTAGAAAAATGCGTTCAACAGAATATTTGATTTTCGCAAATAGTAACTTTGTTTGAAGTATGACATTATCAAACTCTATTCAATCATTAAGATAAGGTTTATCTTGCTTTATATGTCAACCTGGCAAAACATCATTTCTATTGAATATAAGAATAATATTTTTCTTCACTCAATCCATACACCACACTCACAAGTTAGTGTTCAAAAATTGTAAATAAAGAAAAGAAACTTTTCTTTTTACAAAATTTGACAAGTATGAAACTGATGCACCATCATGAGCAGCTAGAGTCATCGAATCATCATGAAAAGGTGTCGAAAGAGAGATTAGAATTTTGTTTCATTGAAATCAGATCTATTCGAACCATATTTTCATACTAAGGTGTTCGTGAACCAAAAGTTACATAAATTGGAGTTTGCGAACCGTGAAGTAGCGCTATAAAAAAAAAAAATTAAAAATTGATTAATTAATTTATTAGCAATATAGATTATTAAAAAAAACACAAACGTTGCTGGTATATTTCTATTCTGATTAGCCATACTTGTTTGACATTGGGATAAAGCTCGATTTTGCATGTTGATACTGTTATATTTATTATAAAATATTTTTCTCTTAGTCAACAATGGAATCATTTGCCTCATTTGTAAATTTTCGATTCAATACTTGTTTTAATGTAAATATGATCCTCAATTATTGATTTTACAAAATGTTAAAATTTATTAATATTAATTAATTTGAGTTCATTTTCTAATTGATTATTTAAATAAAAATAATTCATATTAATTTATTGATCAATTAGATGAATGCAGTCTGTTTTTTTAGTAAAATTTTATTCAAATATTTTTATTTATTTTAATATAAATTTTAATGATCAATATTCTTTAGTAAAAAAAATTTCAATAATAAATGAACAAATTTTTTTCCTATCAAATATCAATTAAGAATTTTATCTTGACAAATATAATAATTGTCAATCACATGGATTATTCTCTAAGTGAACAATTGTTTTTATAAAAAAATCTTTTTATTGAATTAAGGTTGAACCTATAACAACTCTTAGTCAATTTTTTTTTTGTCAAAGTAAAAACCTTTATAATTAACAGATGTATTTTAGTGAACTTTTATGTGGATAATCTCTGGAAAGCTTTTATTTATTTAAAAAAACAAACATGACGAAGAGAGTTTTAGATTTCCTTCAAGGAAGTCTGGTAAAGAACATTCTTTCATTATTGACATTTATTTGTTCTTTTCTGAAGCACCGAGTAATAGGTGTTTGCATGAAAAAAAAAACAAGATATACTATAACTTGACTTTGTCATATAGCATTAAGAAAATTTTGTACTCCCTTATCAATGATTTGATTTGAGGAAAAAGTTTCGTTTGATGTGTCTAGATAGAAGATGTGAAAAAGATCAGGTGAGGAAAACAAAATTATTGATTGTTCAAATTTATTCTAGGCTATTTGGGAAGAATAAGGCTACTTCACCATCGAATTCAGTTTAGAAATGATCTTTTTTTAGTGACAGTTTCTTCTCATTCATACTGATAAATAAATATGTTAGTCAAATTAAGGAAAAATAAACTGATTTACAGTGATTTCTAGAAATATAAATCAATTTGCTAACAGATAAAAACTTTTCACACATAATGATATTGACTTCTTTCTAGAGAAATATTTTTCTGTTGCGTTTTTTTGAAATATTTGATCTTTCAATAAGATAATAAATTTGTTTTACTAAAGTAATGATCAATGTATTATTGCAAAAGGAAAATAATCTTATAAAAATTTTAAATAATTTTTTCCTCCAAATAAATAAATTTCATTTATTTTAACATAATTAATTCGTGTATCATCTCTGATAAACTTGTATGCCACTCTTTCTAATGACTAATCATTGATATAAGGAAGAATATTTTTATGAAAATATATTTTTGTATTAAATAAAAATTCTTCTTTATAATTATCATGAACTTTTGAAATATCAACTGTAATAAGATAATTATATTTAACAATTGATGAATTTTCATTATGATTTATTGATTTATAAAGTTGTTTATGTTTTTGTGATTGATGATAAATCATAGCGGAAATGATTGAGAAATTCGAATAAAAATTTCATACTCAAAATAGAAATAATCCACCTGGAAAATAATGTGTTATCTTTTGATAATATTGCAATTCAGATGAGTGTCCCATATCATGTTGTCCACATCTATGAAGCCACACCTGGTCAAGAGGCACCAGACTGGGTTAAAAAAGACTTCACATTCCGATCTATTGGCGTTGTTGTTTCTTTGCGACGATAGTTTACGTCGAAATTTTTCAAATATATGTACTGTTGAAAATAAATTTAATAGTACTATAACTTATGAATGAAATAGAAAGTTGTACCTTACCATAACAACAATGCCACATCAATTAAAAGTTTTTACTCTTCGTTGTAAGTATAAAGCAACTGATAAGATCTTAAATAACACGTGTTTTTTTAGGTCCATCGGTGAATTGAAAATGAACCTTGTATAACAGAGATACAATTCGATAAAATTCAATAGCAGACAATATTCGTTTACATGTTCAACATAAACAGATAAAATAGATTATTTGATCTTTGTCTTACGAGGGAACATTCCCAGGTGCTAAAAAGCTTTTCAAGCGGGGATGTGATAATTAGAGAGGGCATAGCTAGCAGTGATACACCTT